AGCCCCAAAAAAATGATGTTGTCTGTATAACCAAAAAAAAATGTGTTTGACATAACATGTCATGCTTTTCAAAGTACGACTAGCTAGCTAACTTAAATGGACAGGTACCTCCAGATCCCATTTCTTTTGAATAATCAAATCCAAGAAATTATTCTTTCACCGAGCAATCAAAGGCAAATAATCTCCCACACAATAATGAAAAGTTGCTTGTTTGCATTCATTTTCTTTAATCTTTTGAGGATTAAAGAATTCTTGAATGGTGAATGCATTTTGTTCATCTTCCTGCTGGTAAAAGAACGGCTGTGATTGATACCATCATGGGGTAGCTTTGAGTGCAATCTATGACCCCACTTTGCTAGACCCAACTTACCATCTCCAAGACACCCTCTTTTTCCTCCTCAAAATGGGTTCAAAGTTCAAACTCTCACAGGCCTTCATTTCAGCTTAGTAACTCTCCCTCGGTCGCTCTGGTGCAGCCCCAAGCCCCTTGTGAGTAAGTTTCTCTTTTTCGTTTTATTTTTCTCTGCTCCCACTACTACTGTATTTGGGGTTCCACATCTGATGTCGTTTTAACGGCATTTTGGTTCTCTCCTGGGAGTATAAGGTTGTTTGTTCTTCCATTTTTTTCTGGGGAAGATTAAATCTTCATGTTCTTGTTGTAGATTGGTATCTATTGTATTTCATTTTAAGCTTAAAGTTTTTTCCTTTCCACATTTCTGGTTGAAATCTCAGTCTTTCTACATAGTTCTTCTTGTTAGTGGGTAAAGTTTCCTTTTTTCATGATATTATTATTAATGGGTATGTTTGTTCCTTCATTTGGAAAAAAATGTAGCCTGAATCTATTTTTTTTCCTTTTTTTTTTCCTTCCATTTTCTAGAAAATAATTTTTGGTATTTTCCAGAAGTAGATTGGTGATGAGGTGAGTGGAGATAAGGGGGAAGTTATGGAAGTGGAAAAGATGTTGAGCACACCACCAAACGGCAGGATCCGGCAATCTTATTCACTGTTAAATGGGACTCCAGATCTTGGCTCAAATAGCACGCCGGCAAGTACTGCAGGTTCAGAATATGGTGCCATTGAGTTCACAAGAGAGGATGTTGAGGCCTTGTTGACTGAGAAAATGAGATGCAAAAGCAAATTTAACTACAAGGTCAGTATTTATGTGCTTGAGTGTGTCTTCTGTGTAGGTTGGTTTACTTGAAAAGTTGAAATTGGTTTTGATTTGCTGTTTTGGTTCCTCAGGAGAGATGTGAGAATATGTCAGACTACATAAGGAGGCTAAGGCTGTGCATTAAATGGTTCCTAGAACTTGAGACAGAGTATGCATACGAACATGAGAAGTTAAGGAATGCTTTGGAATTGACTGAGAGGAGATGTGATGAAATTGGTATGAGTGACTAATTTACTTTTTTTTTTTTTTCTCATTATTCGACTGTCTGTTAATGCAAAATGGTGTTTTCTATTGTAGAGATGACATTGAGAAACAAGGACGAAGAATTGAATTTGGTAATTTCGGAATTAAGAAAGAGTTTGGTTTCTGTACAGGAGAAACTCGGAAAAGAAGAATCAGAGAAGTTGGTAAGAAGGGCGAGCCTTTTTAGTACACTGCACTTAGAGTCATATATATAGCTCTTGTTGCAGCATCTCATGGTTATAATGTGATTTTTTTTCTTTCAAATGTGACAACCAGGCTGCAATGGATGCTCTTGCAAAAGAGAAAGAAGCTAGAATTAGTATTGAGAAGACACAAGCGTCTCTTTCAGAAGAGCTTGGTAAAATTCAAGGGGAGCTTGATGGTGCCAATCAAAGGGTAATATAATAATCAAGTTGATTTTGAAATTCTTCGTACCTTGGCTTTTATTTGGAAATTTAGGTATAAATTTATTCTAGCTTAACTTGTTCATTTGCCGTAATTTGAAAATGCAGATAGCATCAGTTAATGATATGTACAAGCTATTACAAGAATACAACTCAAGCTTACAGTTTTACAATAGTAAACTCCAAGCAGATCTTGATATAGTTAATGAGGCAATTAAGCAGGGAGAGAAAGAGAAGGCATCCATGATTGAGAATCTTGGCAACTTAAGGGGTCAATGTGCATCATTGCAAGAACAACTTACTTTGTCTAAAGTGAGTCACTCTTTTCCGATTAACCTCCTTTTGCATAGCTTTATCATGTGCCATAAACTAGTCTTTCTGCAGTTCTTGGTGTAAAATAATTAATTTTTGATAGCATATTTTTAGCTAGTAGGTTGGGAAATGAGTTAAGCTGCTTGTTTGTGGTACATGTTCAGTTTTAACAAACAACAAAGTTTACTCAACTGCAAAAAGTGGAGTGGAAGCAGAATTTGCCTTGATCATTTTCTTCTGAGCTTATCTTTTATTATTTATATACTAGCTTTGTGCTTTGATCTCTTAGACAATTTATTGATTTGATTAGGCTTCTCAAGATGAGGCTATGAAGCAAAAAGATGCTTTGGTGAATGAGGTTGCATCTCTTAGGATTGAGCTGCAACAAGTCAAAGATGATCGTGACCAACAGCAGCAGGAAAAACAGCATTTAATTGCTGAGATAGCTAAAACTAAAGAATTAGCTAACACCTCAAATGATTTAGAGGTTAGGTGTTTTTTTTTTTTTCCCGCTCATGCATCCATGCACTTGCTGATACATTTTGTTATACATATTGTGTTTATAGGCAAAATGTTTGTCACAAAAGAACCAAATACAGATACTGCATGATCAACTAGCAGTTGCAGAGAGGAAATTGCAGGTTATATCTCAAGTTTCAAGTCAATCTATTTTGTGTCATCAGGCCATTTGGCTTCCTATCATAATTAATCTTATTTGCCCCTCTAGGTGTCTGATATATCTGCTCTTGAGAATAGAGCTGAATTTGAAGCACAAAAGAAGCTCATAAGTGAGTTACAAGAATGCCTAGATGATGCAGAATTTAAACTTATAGAAGGGGAGAAATTGCGTAAAAAGCTGCATAATACCATCTTGGTAGTGTTCTGAACTGCATGTTTCATTTGCAACCCAACACATAACTTTACCTAACAGAATGCTTTATCTTACAGGAATTGAAAGGGAACATCCGTGTGTTTTGTAGAGTGCGGCCTTTTCTGTCTGATGATAGTTCCAGCAATCAGTGGAAAGTTTTATCCTATCCCTCATCAGTGGAATCTCTAGGACGGGCCATTGATTTGACACAAAATGGTAATGGCCCAAGAGATTGAGCTTGCAAAAAATGCATCTATGATAAGCTATGCATTTTATTTCTGTAGTTTTCCGTTGGGTTTTGAAAATTAAAGATTCATGCAATTTGTGTATAATTATCAGGTCAGAGACATTCTTTCACTTTTGACAAGGTATTCATGCCTGAAGAATCACAAGAGGATGTGTTTGTAGAAATTTCTCAACTTGTTCAGAGTGCCCTTGATGGTTATAAGGTGAACTTTTAGTAAGCCCTAGATATGGTTTTTCTGTTTAGTTCATTTTGATTTCTGCAGAATTCGCTAAACATGCACAATGCATATCAATAGCACCTTGTGCTTTAATAAATGCTGGTTTTATATTTTTCTAGGTTTGCATTTTTGCTTATGGGCAAACTGGCTCTGGTAAAACCTATACCATGATGGGCAGACCAGGACAGAGAGAAGAAAAGGGGCTGATACCTCGGTCACTGGAACAGATATTCCAAACCAAGCAAGCTCTTCAACCTCAAGGTTGGAAATATGAAATGCAGGTGAGCAGTGATATTTTTTCTCCCTTTTCAGTTATTTCCTGTTCAATGCATTCATATGTTCTATTGATAATTTTTATGTTTTTACCAAAAATATTTAGGTGTCGATGTTAGAAATATACAATGAAAACATCCGTGATTTATTGTCAACAAACCAAGACGCATCACGAACAGAAAATGGTTCTGCTGGAAAGCAGTATGCAATTAAACATGATGCAAATGGGAACACACATGTTTCCGATCTTACCATTGTGGATGTTCAAAGTACTAGAGAGGTTTCATATCTTTTAGATCGAGCTGCACGTAGCAGGTAAAATATCCATTGCCCTTCTCTAGATTAGATCGCAATATAACTGTCTTTTTTGTTGAGTTTATTTAGGGTTGTGTTGCTCAATGTGACACATTTGTGGCCATGTCTCTATTGAATCTCCGTACTTGACCTTCCATGGCTACTTATGCTTGTTGATGTAGTGGAACTTTGGCCTAACAATGATCAAAATTCTTTTTAATTAAAAGGGTTATTTATATCATGGATCTAAGTAAGCATTCTTGAGCATGCATTTAATCTATTTTTGAGAATTTTGAATGACAGTTTGCATTTGTCTAATTCAGATCAGTAGGCAAGACCCAGATAAATGAGCAATCATCAAGAAGTCATTTTGTTTTCACAATGCGAATATCCGGTATTAATGAGGTAGATGCTTTATATTCCACAGTAAAATCCACTATCTGAATACTACTTCAGTTTGGTGTTGCATTTTCCTTAACCATTTCTTAATCATCCACCAGACCACTGACCAACAAGTTCAAGGTGTCTTGAATCTAATTGATCTTGCTGGGAGCGAGCGTCTTTCAAAGAGTGGCTCAACTGGCGACCGCTTAAAAGAAACTCAAGTACTTAAGAAGCTAATTTCATTCTATTCCTTTATACTTTACATGGTTATTTTCTGTAATAATACTTTTTATTTTTCTGGCTTTAATCAGGCAATCAATAGAAGTTTATCATCTTTAGCCGATGTTATATTTGCCTTGGCAAGGAAGGAGGATCACGTGCCATTCAGGAACTCCAAGCTCACCTATCTTCTTCAGGTAATTGTTTAAGAGCCTATGGATTAGAACTTAAGAGAAAGAAGAAGCAATGAATCATATTTTATATTTTTGTTGCTTCCATTGTTTTACATGATTCTTGACACCATACCTATTTCTTTTCTTTGATTCCCTGGTTAACCAGCCATGTTTAGGAGGGGACTCGAAGACTTTGATGTTTGTAAATATTTCCCCTGAATTTTCCTCAGTGGGAGAGTCCCTGTGCTCGCTGCGATTTGCAGCCAGGGTAAATGCTTGTGAGATAGGAACTCCACGACGTCAATCCAACATCCGGGCAGAATCTGGCCGCTTTAGCTATGGCTGATCTTCGATAAAGAAGGAAATATTTTCCTTCCTTCCATCACTAAGTTATCTGTCTCTACATTCACCAAGTCACCCTAACATAGTAACATGAGCTGTTTGTTATAATCTGTATAGTAGTCATTGTATCTGTAACATTAAAAGTTAGAGATCTTCATAGTATTTAGGTTTGTATTCTTTGGCTGAGAGCCTGAGACTGAATTCCTTCACCCTTCCATTACAAATTCACTTCATTGTTGAATCATTACATTTCTGCTCATATGTTTTACTGTTTCATTCACTTCGATACATGATGATAAAACTAGGAAGAAACTAGGTGCATCTCAAATCTCAGAAATGACCTGATTGATCGAGATTCAGGCCATGCGAGCCATGACCTCCTCAAGAATAACTTTCGTGTCCTGGTAACATGATTCTGTTAGGGGAAAATCTTTTGTCTTTGCTGCATCTTCAAGCTGTACATGTTCACAGAAATTTTACACATTGTCACAGAATGAAGAGAACAGTGAGTTTAAGTTGAAACAATGCAGATTTTACCTTTTCAAAACTGTCAAATAACTTGTTAGCTAAAGTAGTGAGAGGCTGCTTCTGATCTACAGGTGCAGCAGAGATGATTTTGTCGAAATCATAGTACATGAAGGTGGATTTGAGCTTAAGGTACTTCCTGACATAGTTCAGGGTGTCCGGTCCAATCAAATCTGCCATTGCAAGTAGATCAAATGCATACTTCCTCAGCCTATACATACGGTTTTTGGTGTTGAGATTTGCTATGTAGATGTGATTGTTGATAAAAGAACGTGTTCCTGTCTTCTCATTTGCAAGATCTGTTAGAAAAACAATGGAAAGGAAACAACACAAGCCAGTAATTTGCTGTGTTCTAGACATGCTTTTGTACAAAAAAAAAAAAATATAAGAAGGAACATTAGCAAAAGGACTCAAGAGAATGCTCACTGTTCTCCACAGAATCAACAGGCAAAAGATCGGTGTACCAGTAGCCATTATCCTCAGCAAAGGCAACACTTTTGGTAGAAGTATTGATGAGAGAAATGGTGGCAAAGCCTAGTACCATTCTTCTTGTGGTTTGCAAATTTTGTTCCTGGAAATCTTGGGTTTTCTTCCTCATAAATCCGATTGTATTGGGTCGTTTTCGGGTTTTTTGAATGCTGGGGAGCTTAGGAATGGCTGGAAGTGTTTCTGAGACTCCATTTAGGTTTGCTAAATGAGCCATGGCAATGAAGAATTAATTGCAGTAGTGTTGAGAAAGTGATAAAAGGGAGTGGGGGTTTCTTTGAATTTCAGTTATATCCGTTTTTTGGGCATTGGGCTCTACTGACCACTAGAAGTATATCCATATTGAGGGTAGTATGGTCATTTCACTGAAGTTATGGAAGTTTAACCTCTTGACCCGTTTCTTTAAAAATATTGCACTTTAGTCCAAAAAATGTTGTGGGGTCAATAACAAAGAAAATTATATTCACAAAACTTTGAAATATTAATTAATAATTGACTCTTTTCTTTTTTTTTTTTTTTTTTTGAACAATTGTTATGGAGTTGAATTGAACCATTGCCCGAGGTGAGGAGGAGGGGAGAAGGTAAACCTTTATAAGAGTGATGGATGCCACTTGGCTCTATGAGTATGTTCAATAATTGATTCTTTTCACTTTATTAAGATAAGTGATATTGAATTAATCCACTAATTTTATAACATGTGGAAATTGTAAAGAGAAGTTATTGATAAAAATCCTTCTTAAATCATAGGTGTGGTTATGACTCCACATCTAAATATTAAGGTCATACAAATATTATTTAATTTAATTGATATTTTATTATTTTATAATTTTTTAAAATAATTCGTTATAATTTCTAGAAGTATGAATTTGTAAGTCCATTTCAATTTATTAAATAATAAATATTAATTATTTTATTAATTATTAATATTTTTATATTTCAATTAAACAAAATTAATATTTTTAAAATCATTA